GGTGGGCAGAGCGCAGATAGCCCATTGTGTAGCTTTGTGCTTAATTACAAACAAACACTCAATTTGCAACTATGTCATCTCAGTGAAGTTGGTTGACACCATTGTTTTGGGTTTTGAATAATTATGCAATCAAAAAGAAGTCGAAGAAAGAATAACAAGGAATTGTCATGAAAGGAAACACTGTATAGTATTGTAAAGTTCTTATGACCTATTGAGGAGACATTTAAAATACCATTTCAATGAACAATCCGAGCCATATCTACTTAGGCAGTGCTACCGCCTGCCTGATAACTCGTGTACCACACGAGTTTACAGGAAATACCCAAGTATAATTCTTTTAGAAAATAAACGCCAATAACTTTTATTGATGTCCATTTTAACGTACGGAACTAGCTGAATCACGTTTTATGTACGTATAGACGAACGACGCTTAATACTTTTTCAAGATTTGCTCGAAATAGGCTAAGCTTGTTAGTCGCAAGAATCTCAATTTTAACGAAGCCGCAAAACGGAAAAAGAAATTGCCGAGATCTTACAGGATTACTCGTATCGTAAAAAATCCAAAGTGATTTATAATCTTCAAGAATTCGATACATAACGGTATTTATTAAAACGTTTCTGTGGATTTATCCTTACGTCACAATGATATAAAGTATGACCGGACATGTGGTGGCATGGACTGTAATGACTTAATCAGACTCAAAATTCTTCTAATTATAATACGATTTCAACTCTGTATTTGTACACTTAACTCACAGACAACCATGATTGCATTTAACATATTGCATATATTGGACTTGTTATCTATTTATTTATGTTTTTAATGTCCTGAGATGTTTGGAAAAGCACACTATTTTTTATGTTATATTTCGGGTATATTCTTCGAATTCCGAGTTTTATTAGTTGACTTAGCAACATTCGTCTGGCTCATTTTTTCTATGTAAATGATCATCAATTAACATCATTTAAGTTATGAAAAATAAAACCGAACTGTAATTAATAACTTTGTCGAGTGTGTTCTAGACATTCCCAACAAACTTATAACACTCTTCATTATAGTATAGTAGATTACTCCTTGTTTGCTTGAGTTGTATAAGACAAAATGTTGACCACTACGATTAGTGTTTCTTGCTCTGTGTACCTCCCCTACACACTCATTTACAGCTTATATGATTATATTCAAAATAAAGTGCATCCTTTCCAAATGTTCAGCCCTGATGGTCTATGTTGTTTAGTTCTCGTGTGTAGCTTCTGTGTTAATATGATTAATATGGAAAGCTGGTTCTGGTCATTTCTACGAATTTGAATTTAATTTTGGTGAAGGATATTGGACAACAGGATAAAACATTTACAAACAAAATAAGCTGTTTCCCCTTGACCAGATTCAAACTCAGGACGGTTTAGTATAATACTAGATATCTCTAATTAATAGCTTCTGTTTGTTTTTATATTGCAGTATCTATCATAATGTAATGAACAACACCACAGTATTGTAGTAACGGTTTCTATCGTTGAGTGGGTTGTTTTTGGATTTTTCGGTAAAAATGATGTAAAGTCCAGTCCAGTTAACAATAACGAAAGCGATTTATTTCTTCGACTGTAACGTATAAGTTATACAGGCTGGGTTCGTTGACAGGAATACCTCGAAAATAAAACTAAACTGGTTCTTCCCTTTCGTATTTATGACACAACTCAAAATTGCTTGACTAAAACAATCAATAATCGTTCGATAATACGACTAACCAACTAATTAACTAACCACACACTGTCTGGCTCACTCACTCGTGCTTTTAAATATCACAATATTTGTTTTTCTTAAATCTCACAAAAATTCGAGACGTCACGTCAAATATAGACACTCAGGAAACTTATGGGCGTCATGCGTCATCACTAAAGTTATGAAACACCTCCTTCTATTAAACAATACAAAACTTCTAAGTTCAAATTCGAAAATCGTAGCCTAAAATAGCAATATTGAACCATAATTTCATAATTTGTAAACCAACTACTTCACAAAGGCCGTTTTCACAAGAATATATGGCTTATAATTTACTTGACAGATTATATTATTTTCTCTTAAAAATTATCTGTAAATTTCATTATTACTGGGACGTTTCAGTTCATGATACTTAAAAATACTTAAAACAAAATTGAGTAGTAAGCATATTTGTCAGGATGTTGCCTAGTATTAGCAAGCCGAATTATGAATCTAAGTGCCCATGACTGGGGTAGTGTTGCTGCAAAATAGGTCTTAGAAGTTTGAGGCCGTTAGTGGTTTAGAAATGTCACTACGAGATCAGATAATACTAGCCCAAGAGCTAACAGTTGGTTCTGGTGACTAGCTAGCTGTCATCCCTCTTGTCAATCAGTATGAATTTAGGAACGGCCAGAATACAAAGTGTTTGTTTATCTTTGCGCAGATATCCGAAGTAAGCACAAACAAGAGGGAATCTTCAATAGCTACGACACTTGAAATTCTTTTAGGCAGGACTAGAGAAAATGATAAAATACATCAATCGAAAGGGTTTGACCTCCTGAATCCAAAACTGTAATTATATCTGAAATCAGTAAAGAGATGACGGAGCTATGAGTTGAAAGTTTGTACTTGAGAAAAACTCAGAGCCATTCTATGAGCCGCTATTCCGTGGCTAAACAGGAAACATGTTAAACTATAAAACATAGAATTAAGCAATACTGACTACATCTGCTTCAACTGTATAGTCAGTTTTCTTCATATTTTGTCAATTTATCTAATTAATTATATAACTAAGTAAAAACGTAGGTTTAATGGCGCTTGTTTCTGTTCCTGAGTCAAAGGGTTAGAAAAAATATAAATAATTACAAAGGTTGTAATGACACATGTTGTCAGCAATAGACAACCCTTCTTTACAGTCTTGCTGTCTCACGTGGTCTACGTCATATATATGTCACAGTTCATAAGGTTATCTTTGTTCCCTCAGAAAATCGCATGCAGAAAAAAAACGGCTTATATTCTACATCTCTTCTGGGAGTAATACGTAACAAAAGTTTAGAAGCCGTTCCCTGAATTTTGGTGCAAAAATACGAAGTTTGCGTGCTTGTTTTTGTTTGTAAAAATAAGTAACACTTTTTAAAACTATATAAGATGGATATTAATTATTTAATATCAGAAGACAAGATTCTTCGCTCTCCTTGGATTTCGACTGATATACCCAAAATCTCCTTGACAGAATTTCTCACTTTGGCGTTGGAGAAATACGGTGATAAACCGTTAGTGGTAAGCTTTAAACATTTCATACAAGTAATCTAAACTGTTAAAAGTTTTGAAAAAACTATGGTCACGGCAACAATGAAATGATGTTTAAAAAAAAACTTCAATTGTATTTGTTAATGGAACTTTATAGAAATAAGTGTATAAATATGCAAGTTTCGTTAAATTTCTGTTTAATTCATAAAAACTTCTAGTAAAAATCTAAAAAATATTTATATGACCCGACATCACTACGTTTAACGGTTTTTATTTGTAAGCAGTTTAATTAATTTCTATTTCAGGAAAACATTAAATTTCAATTTATAGTGTGAGTTTATCAAATACCAAAGTCACGTTTGGTTTATTTTTATTTACCGACTTTTAAGAGAAGAGGAAAAATATAGGTTCTAGTTTCCTTTATTTCACGAATACTATAGATCTCTAATTTTTTTAGATGTGTTGTTAGTGGCGAAGATCTTCTCCGAGTTTTCTGAAATATAACGCTATCTCACATATAGTGAAGTAGAATATTTTGTTCTTCGTTCAATGTAACAGAAGGGCATTAATGAAAAAATAATAATATATTGAACAAAAACGGTTTTTCTTTTACACTTAAAAATATGTTTCAGTACCAATTAAAAATACAAATTTACTTAAATCCACCTAGGTGGTATATATATATATATACCGTATTCGTTTGCAAACCTAACAAGGCGAAAAACTAGAGCAACAAAGTAGTTTTGTCAACTTCTACTCAGTTGTGTTTCTTGAATAAAAAGTAGTTTGTTTTTGCGAGGTTTCTGTGAGTCGATCTTTGAATTAACTGATTTTTTTACTATTTAGATTTTAAGCATCGTTAAGCCTTCGGGAGATCTAGAATGATAGGTAGTAACTATCTTCTTAATCAGTTTTTAATTTATAAATAACGTAGTGGAACTGTTACATAGCAATAAGCCTAGTGTCTTTGCATCGGAAACAGGGACATATCTATTCTTGATTTAAATACAGTTTATGGGCTTTATTGTCCTTTATTGAGGTAAAACTTAGACAAAAAAAACAAGTACGCACAGTAACTTTTGCATCACAGCAAATAAACATTGCTATGGTACATCTTACCAAAAGGTATATATATATGAATATATATTTAGAGAAGAAAATTTCTAAATGTCAAAACTGTTTGACTTCGCGTTTCGGAGAAAGAGGGTTTTCTTAGCTTAGTTGGTTAAAAAACATGGCCAGCAAATATATCTATCTTTGGATAGATATGAATTCGAATCTCGTTCATTTACACTCTAACTTTCTCTACCTATAAGAACAAATCGTCAAGTAAGGTTTTACTTAAAGATATAAGGATCTTAGTTTATGTTTTGTTTATTTTTTATATGTTTGTTGTACTAACTTTTTAGCAATGGGATACATTTACATGATAATTTTACATAAAAATCTACTTAACAATAACGATTAAAATCATTGAAGTTAAGATATAATAGATACATAAAGATAAAGCAAAATTGAGTCAGCTTGTTCAAAATGGATAAAATTACATTTAAAAACGAGAAGGGCCGGCATGGCCAGGTGGTTAGGGCGCTCTACTCGCAATCTGCGGGTCGCGGGTTCGAATTCCCGTCACACCAAACATGC